GATCTCATTCGTGGAGTTCTGATCATTTTGGTCCCTCTCTAGAACATCTTTCAGTAGCCTGTGTAGGGTTGGGCTTTGTCATCATGAAATTCTTTAGTTGTTCTTTTTCATGAAAGTACTTCACTTCTCCCTCAAACTTGAAAGAGAGTTTTGCAGTGTATAGTAGTCTAGGCTGGAATTTGTTTTCATAGAGGACCTGAAGTACTCTGCTCCATGCTCTTGCCTTCATGGTTTGTGAAGAGAAGTTGGCCGTAATTCTGATGGGTTTTCCTTTGAGTGTGATCTGCTTCTTTTCTCTAGCGTCTTTCAGTATATTATTCTTGAACTGGATGTCTGGGATCTTTACTATTATATGTCTCAGTGTGTTTTTAATTGGGTTGAGGTTACTTGACATTCTGTATGCTTTAGTTACTTCAATACCAGACTGTTTCCTCATATTTGGGAAGTTTTCTGCTATTACTTCTGCCTATATTTTTTTATTATCATTTGCCTTGACTCCTTTCTCATTGATATCTGTTAGTCTCAGATTGTTCCTCTTTGCATCGTCTTGGAAGTTGTGAATTATTTTTTCCTGCATCCTAGTTGTTTTTAAGAAATCTTTTCTTAACTTTTCACTAGCTGCACCAGCATCTTCAAGATCTGAAATTCTGTCTTCCCTTTCACTCAGTCGGTTTTGCAAGTTTGTGTTTGAAATTTTAATTTCCTCCATATCTCTTTGACTCTGCTTCATGCGATCTATTTCCTTCCTCTATTGCTCATTCAAGGAATCCATCATTTTTCTTTTTTGGGGGGGGGGGGACTGGGGATTGAACTCAGGCCCTTGTGCTTGCCAGGGAAGCACTTATTCCACTGAGCCGTCTCCGCAGCCCCCTCCATCATTTTTCTGATCTCCATTTTTTTTATCGATGTCTCCTTTAGAAGCAGTTATTCTTTTACTGTAGTGTTTTTTTCTGATTGGGTTTCCTTCCTGTTTCTGTATTTGATTGTTTACATCAGATGCTATGAGTTCAGAGAATTCTTTTTGTATTTCAGAAAAGAATTCCACTGTGAGTTCCTCTATAACTTTCTGCTGCTACTTATTTCCTTTTGATGCTATTAATTCATAATTTGAGCCGAGCTAGTGTCCTCTGCACTTTTTCTGGGTGGGCATTGGGTTTCCTCCATATGTTTCTGCATTTGATTCTTACTGCAGTTGCTATTAATTCAGAGATTTCTTTTTGTCATTTCCAATCTGAGTTCCTGTATAACTTTCTTCAGTTGTTTCTTTATTTCAGAAGCCATTGATTCATTGATTTCAGCTCTGTGATTCCCAATTTGTTCTGTGTTAGTGTCCTCTGCACCTGTTATGGGTAGGCTTGGGGTCTGAGATTGCATTTTGCTCTTCGTCATTTTCTATAGCACTGTCTTCTGACCTTTGTTGTAGAGCTTTGGTGCAGTTATAACCGTAGCACCTACTGAAATTCAGCTGCTGATCTACAAAGTTTGAATTTATCCAGCTGTGCCTGGCTTGGGTCTGGCTGCTGTGCTCAGCTACTTCCTGCTGCCACCCTTGGGAGTGAACCTGTTGTGCCCCTCTGGCAAGATGTTCTGCTCCTGGACTAGCTGGGTGGTTCTGTCCCCTACTCTCTCTGCAGAGAGTGCAGCTCCAGAGTTTCACCCCAAACCTGTATGCCAGGCCTGAGCTGAGTCTGAAGGGGACAAGGTGGGGTAAGAGGGAGAGGAAGTTCTCCCACACACTAACCGGGCCTGGGCTAGGGCTGGATCTAGGGGTCCCGAGAACGTGGCAGAAGTTCTCACTCGGTGGACGTGGTGGGGTACTGTGGAGTGGTGAGAGGGGTGCCAAGGGGTCGGAAGAGGGTCTCACCCATGCTGCACCTGGGCTTGGACTGGACTGGTCCCACTGGTGAAGGGTAGCCGGAAGGTGTCCCACACACTCACCAGGCCTGTGCTAGGGCTGGATCTGGAACTGTTGATTTTAATAATGTGACATTTTAAGTATTTTTATTCTCCTAAAGAATTTAAAAGCAGAAAAAATTATCAGCCAGTCACGTAATACCACTGACCTTGTATTAGAGTAAACATTATATACAGGGGGGAAAAAAACTGCTTGACCTTTACTTTTTCTGTCATTAGGTATCTGTCCCTAATAGAGACTGGTTTTTATTTAGTCGATATTGAGGTTTAGGGACCTCTGTTGTGGCAGAACTTCCCTTTTACAGGCAGCATAGCCCTCCTTTGCCTCATTGCTACACTGGTGTCCCATAGTGTATGTTTTGTGTTGTCCTGGGTATTCATTCAGCAAATAATTTTCTTGGTTGTTTAAGCCCATGTGTTATTGTAGTTACTCCTTTTTTAATGAATAAAGTCACATTGGCCTGGTTTAATTTTTATAAATCTTTGAAAACCTTCTTGAACAACTGTTCAAATCAGTTAAATTGATCTAGTAGACAAGCTAGATAATGGAATTAGTCAAAAGTCCTAACTGGTAGATTGGTACTAGGTACTAGAGTGGTTCATTTTCAGGGTTTTTTTAGGTAGTAGAGTGGTTCATTTTGAGATTTTTTTTGTGAGTGTTACTATGTAGTTCAGACTGGCTTGAACCCATCCTGTACCCCAGGGTGGCTCAGTCATCTTGCCTCAGCCTCCCAAGGGCTGGAAATACAGGCATGCACCACCATGTCTGGCTCAGAGATGTTCTTGATAAAGGAATTGTGGTTGCTACAGAAGTACACACTCAGAAAGTCTAGGGAAGCTCCAGTGGCACAATTAGTTCTAGGAGCATTACAAAAACCACAGTTGAGAGGGCTAGCCAAATAGCTCAGCAGGTTAAAGCACCTGCTTAGGCATGTGCAGAGGCTGCGGTTCGATCCCTGGCTTGTAGTGCCAGCCCCACCCCCAGGGCGCACTGGGTGATTGAGACTGGATTTGGTGGTACTTTCCTGTAATCCTATCTCTTGGGAGGCTGAATACAGGTGGATCATTGTGAGTCCAATCTGAGGACCTTATAGGCCCTTACATTAAAAAAAATACCCACAGTTGAAATAACTCTTATCTTGCTCTTCTACATGTGTACCGTTTCTAATGTCTTACCAGTTAGTATACTCTCTTTAATTTTTTTTTAAAGTAGAAAAGGACAAAAAAGTTTATTGAAAATAAGCCTTAATGTGTAATTATTTGACCAGTCTTACATAGGAACAACAGATTTAATGATGAAAATATGTAATATAACAGCTATTGTTAAATTTTTATTCTTGTTTTGAAATTCTGTACCATATGTATTGTTGTTACTTTGTTTCTGCTATTTGATTTTACTCTTTAAAATAAAATTAAAAATGAGGGATGAAAAAAGTATGCAGGAGCCTGAAACAGAATTGAAGTAGATAGTATGCTCAGTGTGCTCTTTCAGCCCTTTGTGGAACATTGCACAATCCTGAATTTAGACTTCATTTTCTATTAGAGTTCTTTTCAAAAAACACTATTTCAGAGAGGCCTCTAGAATTGCAGGTAAAGAAACTGAAGCCATATGGTTTACACTAACTTTGAAGTTACCTGAGAAGTTTTTCTTAAATGCCTTTCTTGGTAATATGTTTGCAATTATCATTTTACAGACCAATGCAGGCAATGAACCGGACTTGGAAGATGAACAAGTCTGCTGTGAAGCATTGGAAGTGATGACATTGTGTTTTGCCTTGATTCCAACAGCCTTAGACACTCTCAGTAAAGAAAAGGCTTGGCAGACATTCATTATTGACTTACTGTTGCACTGTCACAGCAAGTAAGCATTTTTTTTAATTTTAAGAAACAATCGTATTTTTGTAAGGAGAAATTAATTGATTCATACTGGCATAATGGATCTCATAAAATATTCTCTAATAGCACATTGGTATTGAGGAAAATTTTTTCAACAGTGATTTGGTTAACCTAAATTTTATTGTAGTTTTCTAAAATGCTAATATTATTTCTCCAAAGTACTAAGTTTTCTACTTTAGAGTTATATCACCTAGGGTGTATGTGTGTGTGTTCCCATTTTTTAAAAAATCTGAACTATAAGATTTAAATTAACTAGGACTGTGGCCCATGTTACATTCTAAATGCCAGGTTTTCTTGAGTCTGTGTGAGTCATGAAATCATTACTGTAGGAACTTCTGCATTTTAGAATAGAATAAAAATCAATTATAAAGCATTTGTTCTAAAGAGCATTTAAGGGGCTGGTGAGATGGCTCAGTGGTCTAAAGCACCTACTTAGATCAAGCTTAGCAAAGCACGGGGACCGTGGTTCAATCCCCCAGCACCACATGCCAGCCAGCCCCGCCCCCTGGTGGGCTGAGCTGCCCCCCCACACACACACACAAATAAAATTTTTTTAAAAAATAAAGAGCATTTAATCAGTGACAGTAATTTTGCTTAAAAATTCTTTCAATCAGATTTGTAGAAAATGGTTTTTATCTTCACGTCAATGTGACCTTCATATTTACTGTAACTTTTTAGACTCATTAATATCACTATTATGCGTAATCTGTTTTGTATGTTTTTTAAACGGTTAAAGTTTTTGTAAAGTCAAACAATTCGGTGAAGTCTAATGATAAAAACAAACTTTGAAAATGTACACAGCGAGCTGATCACTGTGGTTTAAGCTTGTAATCCTAGCGATTTGGGAGGCTGAAAAAGAAGATTGCAAGTTCAAGCCCAGGCTGGGCAGTTTAGTTGATAAGGTAGAACCTGTGTCAGAATTAATTATTTTAAGGCAAGGGATATAGCTTAGTGACAAGGTACTCTGGGTTTAATCCCTAGTATTGCAAAAAAAGGGTATATTATGTAATGGGATGGGTTCAACTTGCCCACCACTGAGGATAGTTGGAAGTAGCATAGTTCTCAAGAAAAAATGTTTACTATTTTAAGAAGTTCCTTGGTTGATTACCTTGAAAGCATCCAGTGTAGCCTTTTTAGAAGCTCGTTTTCCAAGGATTCCTGCGATGGGGTGGAGGGTGGCATTGGTACCTCCTTGAGAGTTTCTCACAGCTGAATAGTTCTTTTTTTTTTTTTTTTTAAATAATTTTTAGACTCATAGTTTTTTTTTAACTTTATTTATTTATTTATTTGAGAGAGAGAGAGAGAGAGAGAGTGTGGTGTGTGTGTGTGTGGCCAGCTCAGCCCACCAGGGGGCGGGGCTGGCTGGCATGTGGTGCTGGGGGATCGAACCGTGGTCCCCATGCCTTGCTAAGCTTGTTCTAAGTAGGTGCTTTAGACCACTGAGCCATCTCTCCAGCCCCTGAATAGTTCTATGTGTTGAAGAAATGCATTGAATAAGTCTAACTAGATTTTAATACATTTGGGTGGTGAAGAGAGGAAAAATGATTGTCCAACAGTATTAATGAAAGCAGACCTGAGATATTAGATTTCTCTGTGTTGATTTTTTTCAATACTAAATTTTTTTTAAAATTAGGAACATGTTTCACTTCTTACATAATTTGAACCATTTTGCCCCTCTGTTGCATGAAACACACATAATAGGGAAATGTGCTTTAAGCCTTTGTGTGTGTGTGTGTGGTACCAAGGATTGAACTCAGGACCTTGCACTTGCCAGGCAAGCACTTACTCTACTGAGCTATCTCCCCGGCCCTATTATAAGTTCCTTTTTTTTTTTTTTTAAATTCAGTACCAGGGATTGAACTCTGGACTCTGCGCTTGCTAGGCAGGCATTTATTCTACTGAGCTGTCTCTCTGGCTCCTGGGAAATGTGCTTTAGATATCACTTCATCTCACAGTGTCTGTATCTTGTGTGCAATAAGAAAGGAATCTTAAAGTTGGGGTCTTTATGAGCTAGATAATCAGATTTGTTCCTTGTTACAGATTGTTTCAGTTGAAGTGTTGAAATGTTTCAGATTTTGACATTTGTCACATTTTGCGATACTTGCATAGACTTTACTATTTTGAGCATCCCTAATCCAAAAATCCAGAGCCGGCCAAATATCTCAGCAGATTAAAGTACCTGCAAGCAGGCACAGGGGCCAGGGGTTTGATCCCAGGGTACACTGAGATGGCAATTGAGACTGGGTGTGGTGGCATGCCTATGATCCCAGCTCTTGGGTGGCTGTAAACAGGTGGAACACTAGGAGTCTGATCTAGTAGTGAGACCCTGAACACCCTGTAGACCCTTCCCTAAAATATGAAAAAAAATTCCTAAATGTTCCAAAATTTGAAACATTAACAAAAATAGCATTGTTGATTCTAAAATTAAACTGAACATATAAAAGTCCCTTTTCTTAAGTTCATAAGAATTTGTCAGCAAAACTGGCCTGAACATTAGTCATTGGCATTAACATTCTTTATGTATTTGGTACAGTGTCTCTCACTACACATCTATGGTGATCTTTTTTCAGCCTCCCCAGCGCTGGAATTATAGGCTTGTACCGCCACACCCGGTCTTGGTGGCCAGCTCAGCACACCTCGGGGCAGATGTGGTGCCAGGGATCAAACCCTGCTCCCTGTGCTTGCCTAAGCACATGCTTGGTCTGCTGAGCTATCTGGCTGGCCCAGCATTAACATTCTAAGAGCTGTATCCCTGCATATATCTAGCCCTAAGCATTTCAGATAAAGCCTTGTGAACCTGCACATAAATCTCTCAAAGAGTTTATACTTGAATAATCTTACCAGTAACCAATATATTTAAAAGCATTTCTCAGTCACTGTACCAATTCAAAAAAGACTTTGATCCAAGAAATAAATATATATATATATATATATATATATATATATATGGCATATTTTTTTTGTTTTTGTTTTTTATACTGGGGATTGAATTCAAGACATTGTACTTGCCAGGCAGGTGCTTAAGCCACTGAGCTTTCTCCCTAGGGACAGTTTTACAGTGGGTGGTTAGCTGGCTCAGTCTCCCTGTGTTCAGCGCGCGCGCGCACACACACACATAGGAAGTGGACTTTCCTGATGGAGCTAAAACTGTTGAAATTAAAGTTAAGTAACTGACAAGTTCGTGACCTTATGAAATGCAAAAACTAAGATTTAAACAAGGTTTTCTGCCTGTTGAACTCTGATTTGTTGGGTATAATTATAACCTACTGGCAAATAAGTGCATCTCTACTATGTGCTTGGCAGTTAAAAGCCAGAGTTGGTTGGGGGTGTAGCCCAGTGGTAGAGTGCAAGATACTGTCAAATAAGGAACTTTGAGGTGGAACTTGGTGCCATACAAGTTGAAGTACTTCAGGAGTTGGAAGAGGAATAGGTTACTTTTATCTGGAAGGAGCAGAAGTGAAGGTTTTGCACAGGATATACCATGTAAGTTCACGTTTGAGTAGGCATTTTATGTGCATACAAATGCAAAATGGGAGACCAGGAGTGTAGATCACTTGCCTAGCATATATAAAGCCCTAGTTCCATCCCCACCAAAAACGAAAAATATGAAGAGAAGAGGATTATAGTTAGTGTTCTCCCTCTCTCACCCTCACTTCCAGTTATGTTCTTCTTGCAACCTGTACACTTTTCCTCTTCTACTACCCTGGCTGAACAACCAGGACCTATTGCCTAGACAGCTACAGTGTCCTTGACTTCCCTACTCCTGGTGGTGTACCCCTCTAACCTATTAGTCATACTTCAAGCAGAGTGATCTGTGTCTACTAAAATAAAAAGCAGGTGTAACCTGCACCTTTGAAAGTCTGATGAAATATGGACCCTCTCCCCAGAAAATTAAGTACTCCCTAACTTCATTTAGGTTCCCCCAAAACTATCCACAAAAATTGTAGCTTCTGTGTTTCAAAAACCATGTAGGAGTTTAGTACATAAAATGAATGTTGCTGAGTTCTTGAGTTGTAGCAATTAACACAAATGTAGTTATCCATAAAATACAGTTTGTGCTATCTGCAAGCTACACAAGTGCTTTGTTGGCAGGTCCTTGTTGAATGCCAGGCATGGTTCTACCTAGGTGCCTGAAATTGTGACATGAGCACAATAAAGCTCCCATCCCAGACAGCTTACTTTCTTTTTTTTGTGTGTGTGTGTGTCGGAACCGGGGATTGAACTCAGATCCTTGCGTTTGCCAGTCAAGCGCTTATCTTACTGAGCCATCTCCCCGCCCCCAAGACAGCTTACTTTCTAATGGAGACAGACCACAGTCTTGTAAATAAATGATATTCATGTATTTGGTAACTGGTTCTTGAGCACAAACTTTATGCCAGATACTCTTCTAGGTTCTACAGGCATATTGTGAAAGAGAAGATGTCCCCTTCTGCTTGGAAAATTTATTCATGTGAGATCTATTTAGCATATAATTGATATTTTAAATCTGTAATCATAAGGTAAAACTCCTAGTATTTTTTTTTTTTTTTTTTTTTTTTTGCGGAACCGGGGATTGAACTCAGGCCCTTGCGCTTGCCAGGGAAGCACTTATTCCACTGAGCCATCTCC